AGTGGGGGTTAAGTGACTTGCCCAGAGTCACACAGCTAGTAAGTGTCAAGTGTCTGTGGCCTAATTTCAACACAGGTCCTCCTGACTCCAGTGCTGGAGTTGTATCCACTTTGCCACCTAGCTGCCCACCTATTCCTCTTAAAAATATAAAGGGTAGGAGTAAAGGAAAATTAAGGTTCTCTGAGGTTCCCCCTCACCGTCATCTGTTTGGCAGAATTGACAGAAAAAAGTAAAATGAGAAATTCTAGATCACCCCTGGGAAAACAAGTATATTAACATGCCCTTGATGGTTGGTTTTTTTTTGTGTGTGTGTGTGTGTGTGTGAGTCCTCTTCTAGATCCATGCCATCTGGATGATGATGCCAGGACTTGCAAATGAATTGGGGTTGTGAGGAAAGGTCTCACTTTCTCCTCCTGAGCCACCTCAGTCCAGTGGCAAGATAGAGATCAGGAAGACTGGAAGTGGCCCAGCTTTGGCCTTTTGAAGCTAAGGTCTTTAGGAGTTCTCACTTTGACTGAGGCAAAGCCCCATTCAGTGATTAAGGCTGGTTTAGAAATGTGGGGAGGAATGGCTCCTTTTATCTAACAAAAAATAAGTAAACAAAATCAGTCTGGGAGGGGAAGACCTTCAGGGTTTTTGGCTGAAATAGAAACAATTATTATTTACTTAGCAAATGGGCTACTGGAGCCCCAAACAATGACCACCTAGTGGGCTTGGGCTTGGACTTTTTGTTGGCCTGTCCAAGGGTTTAAGGCATGGTCTTTAAGAAAGAAATCTAACCAGTAAATGCCAAGGGCATGATAGCTCACTTAGACCAAGGGAAAGGCTTGCAGGTAAGGGAGAGGAGGAGGAGAAGGAACTGAGTTTCCCAACTGGAAGTGGCCAGTTGGGTCCCCAGTGGGGCAGCTCAGACTACTCACAGGTTGTTTGTCCTTCATTCTGAAGAGGACCATGTCATCAGGAAGACGATGCCATGACTTGCAAATGAAGTGGATTAAGTGATGGTGGGCTGTACAAGGTCACCAGGCTCCTCAAGAGCCATTTGAGTCCAGTGGCAAGATAGAGATGCTGAAGATCACTCCTTTTGGCAGGCATACAAGCTTGTTGACTAGATTAGTTTTGATTGCACAACCTACACCAACTTCGGGACATTCCGCTTGATTGTGGCCACTCCAGAAAAATGTGTATCCAGCCCCCCGTTCAGTAAGCTGGCCTTCCTTTTCCAGCCTTGTTTGACTCAGGGCTGCTGTTTCGATTTGATATCTGCTGAGTTCTCTTGCAACAGGAGCTGTTCCGCTTTCAGGTCTGCTGGATTTTGTGTTGTCTAAATGTGCACACATTCCATGATCGTTAGTTCAGGGTCTCTAAACAACAGGTAAAGGTGTTCTGGTTTCCGAACTGCAAAGGACTAGGTTCAAATAATGCAGTAAGGTTTTCAACCCATTCTCCGAATTGAATAGATTTTTCTCACAAGACACATTTGACTACACCTGTAATTGAACAGAAAAAGAACTGAGCTACCTCCAGAATTGAGTCACAAAATGGAGTCATTGTGGTTGACTCAATTGCTTCAGGTTCAGGTACCACTTGCTGTTCTACTTGCTTGTTTACTTTTGAACTTTATAGCAGAGCTATAGCTGGGTAAGCACAAATGTTTTTGTTATTTCAGGAATCACTGACATTCAAGGATGTGGCTGTGGAATTCACCCCAGAGGAGTGGGTACAATTGAACCCATCTCAGAAAAAGTTGTACAGGGATGTGATGCTGGAGAACTATAGGAACTTGGTCTTTTTGGGTAAGAACAGCTGCCCCTTTGGAGTCTTGATGTACACTTTGACAACTTTCAAGATTTTAACAGTTATTCTTTGGTGTACAAGAGGAAAATATTCTTAATCCTTTTGTAGCCAAGAGACAGATTACTTGTGCTACCTGTTTCCAGAAAAAAGGTCTTTGCATAGTATTCCTGGAAATTGATTTCTTGATTTGTTGTTATCCTTGAGGATGTATCTTCCCCTCTCTGTTGCTTCAAATCCAAGATATTCTTTTTAATCTCAATGTAGGTTTCAGTATACACAGTGTTCCCACTGTCAAAGCAGAGAATGAGTCAAATGAATTATTTTTTCCTAAGTCCTACTCAGTAATCCATTCTACCATAATGTGAAATATCCTTCAGTGGTACTTAGTACTATCCTTGAGGTCTTCCTAACATGCCCACTTTTTCCCCAGAAAGGACTTAAACTGCTTTTGAATTATTTTATCAAGTTTTGTGGCTGCGTTTTTAAAAATGCAATTTCTACTCCCCTTGACATCTTCAAAAAAAAGGAAAAGAGAAAACCCTGCTTCTCCCTCCACCCAGGACATTAAGCTCCACACATTTGAAATACAAAAGTCTCCAATGAAATCAACTAACGTAGTACCGTTGGTAGTATAAAACACATTCAGTGCTCTTGTTCCCCTACCTTACTTCTAGGAGTTGGAAGGGATATTTCATCTATTTCTTCTATGATGGAACTCTGAAATAACTCCCTAGCACTTTTTCATTTTCAATGAACAGGATTTGCAGTTTCCAAACCAGATGTGATCTACCATTTGGAAAGAAAGGAAGCATCTTGGATGCTAGAGGCAGATATTCCAAGAAGTAGCTGTCCAGGTGACTACATAAAAACCAAGCAGATGGGTCAGTGCAGACTAGTGATCTGTTGATCATTTTAGGTCAAAGGTCTTGTAAAATGTTGAACACAGATGGCCTATCAAAGCTTCTAATACCTGTTGAGAAGAGCTGAGATGTTCATACTTCATTTTTTACCTCAGGAAGTTACTTTTTTAAATCTATCTCTTTATTGAAATGTATCTCCACCCTCAAAGAAAGTTGCTGCCTTTCTACAGGGCAGGTATTTCTCTTCTTTTCATTGAAGATTATCTTCTCGTAAGCAGGCATTCTCCTGCCTCACTTGCATGAATTCATTTTCCCTTTTAAAATAAGTACATTACTTAAGATGTTAAGTAATGTGCTCTTTTTACTTCTTAGTCCTCTTCTGATATTTTCTTCTTTTTTTTTTGGATAATGTTGCTTTGCTGATGTTACTTTTTAAAATAGTTAATCCTCACCTAATTCCCCTTTCTTTGAGTCTGATGTTATGTATCATAGTGTTTTTCCTTATGCTTTGAAATTGTGTTTATAAAGGCACAGTAATATGTTTATAAGTCAGGACTTGTTTAACCATAAGCCAATCATTGGACCTATAGATTTTCAGTATTTTTCTATTTTACAAATAGCTGTTGTAAAAATTTTTACTGAGAGTGCCTTGTTGATTTTCATTAACATATTGAGGATGCAAACCTAGTAGTGGTACTATTGGGTCCAAGGATATGAACGGTTCTGTAGCTCTAGCCAAAATTGATGTTCCTTTTCAGAAAAAAGGCAGCAGTAGCTTCATATGTAGCTATTTCAAAATAATTGGCTAAAGTTAATTTTTTTGTTTTTTTTCCTTGATAATTTATTTTAATTTTCTGCATTCACATCAACAAGATTTTGAGTCTTAAATTTTCTCTCTCTCCCCCTCCATTTCCAAGACAGCATGCAGTTTGATATAGGCTGTACTTACACATTCATATTAAGCACATTTTCCCATTAGTTATGATGTAAAGAACAGTTAGACCTAATGGCAGGAACTCCGAGAATGAAGCAACAAAACAAAACAATAAAACAAAACAACAAAGGAAAAGGAGAGCAAATAGTATGCTTCCATCTGCATTCAGACTCCATAGTTCTTTCGTTGCTTGTGGATAGCTATTTCCATCATGAGTCTTTTGGAGTTGTCTTAGATTCTTGCATTTCTGTGAAGAGCCAAGTCTGTAAACGTCAGTCATCTCACAATGTTGCTGTTACTGTGTGCAGTGTTCTCTGGTTTTGCTCATTTCACTCTGCATCAGTTCATGTAAGTCCAGGTTTTTTTGACGTCTGCCAACTCATCATTTCTTATAGCACAGTGGTATTCCATTACATTCATATACCACAACATGTTCAGCAATTCCCCATTTAATGGGTATCCTCTCAATTTCCAATTCTTTACCACCACAGAAAGAGCTGCTATAAATATTTTTGTACATGTGGGTCCTTTTCCCATTTGTATGATCTCTTTGGAATATAGACCTAGAAGTGATATTGCTGGGCTAAAGGGTATGCACATTTTTACAGCACTTTGGGCATAGTTCCAAATTTCACTCCAGAATGGTTGGATCATTTCACAAGTCCACCAACAATGCATTAGCTTTCCAATTTTCTCACATATTCTCCAACGTTTATCATTGTCCTGTTTTGTCATGGTAACCAATCTGATCAGTGTGATGTGATACCTCAGAGTCATTTTGATTTGCATTTCTCTAATCAATAGTGATTTAGAACATTTCTTCATGATTGTAGATAGCTTTAGTTTCTTTCTCTGAAAATTGCGTGTTCATGTCCTTTGACCATTTATCAATTGGGGAATGCCTTGTATTCTTACAAATTTGGCTTCATTCTCCATATATTTTAGAAATGAGGCCCTTATCAGAGACACTGTGTGTAAAAATTCTTTCCCAGTTTTCTGCTTCCCTCTTAATTTTGGATGCATTGGCTTTGTGCAAAAATTTTTCAATTTAATGGAATCAAAATTATTCATTCTGCATTTCATAATATTCTCTTTCTCTTGTTTGGTTATAAATTCTTCCCTTCTCCATCCATCTGAAAGGTAAACTATTTCTTGCTCTTTAAGTTTGCTTATAGTATCAGTCATATCTAAATCCTATAGCCATTTTGACTTTATCTTGGTATAGGGTGTAAGACGTTGGTCTATGCCCAGTTTCTGCCATACTATAAATCTAAGCAGAAAATCAACAAGAAAGAAGTTGAGGACATCAGTAGAGTTTTAGAAAAGTTAAATATGGTTGATCTCTGGTGAAAACTGAGTGGGGACAGAAAGGAATATACCTTTTTCTCCATGGTACATGGCACTTCCACAAATATCGACCATGTACTAGGGCATCAAAACTTCACAATCCATTGCAGAAAGGCAGAAATAGTAAATGCATTCTTTCAGATCATGATGCAATAAAAATTACAGGTAATAAAGCGCTATGGAAAGTAGACTAAAAATTAATTGGAAACAATAATCTAATCCTAAAGAATGAGGTCAAACAACAAATCATAGAAACAATCAATAACTTCATCCAAGAGAATGACAATTATGAGACAACATACCAAAACTTATGGGATGCCGCAAAAGCTGTTTTTGGGGGAAGTTTTACTTCTACATGCTTACATGAATAGAGGAAGAAGAGATCAGTGAATTGGGCACGTAATATAAAAGCTAGAGAAAGAACAAATTGAAAATTCCCAGTTAAATACTAAAGAAGAAATTCTGAAACACATAGGAGAGATTAATAAAATTGAAATTAAGAAAACTATTGAATTAATAAATAAAAATAAGAGCTCATTTCATGAAAAAACAATAAAATGGATAAGTTTTTGGTTCGTTTGATTTAAAAAAAGAAAGAAGAGGGGCAGCTAGGTGGTGCACCAACCTGGGAGTCAAGAGGCACCAAATTAAAATCTGGCCTCAGACACATAATAGTCAGCTGTGTGCCTCTAAGCAAGTCACTTAACCCCAATTGCCTCACCAAAAAAGAAAAGAGAGAAAGAAAACCACATTAGCAGCATCAGAAATGAAAAGGGTGAATTTACCACCAATGAAGAGGAAATCAAAACAGTAATTAGGAGATATTTTGCCCAACTGTATGCCAATAAATTTGACAATCTTAGTGAAATGGATTAATATTTACAAAAATATACATTGCCCACTATAATGGAAAAGGAAGTAAAATACTTAACCCAGTTTCAGAAAAAGAAATTGAACAAGCTGTCAGTGCACTCCCTAAGAAAACTCCAGGGCCACGTGGATTTATGCGTTAATTCTTTCAAACATTTCAAGAACAACTAATTCCAATACTACATAAATTATTTGGGAAAATAGGCAAAGAAGGAGTCTTAGAAAATACGTTTTATGATACAAATATGATGCTGAAAGAGCCAAAACAGAAAGAAAATTGGAGACCAATTTCCCCAATGAATATTGAGCCAAAAATTTTAAATAAAATGTTGGCAAAGAAATTACAACAAATTATCTCAAAGACAATACACTATGACCAGGTAGGATTTATACCAGGAATGCAGGGCTGGTTCAATATTAGGAAAACTAGCAGCATAATTGAGCATATCAACCACAAAACTTAAAGAAATCATATGATTATCTCAGTAGATGGAGAAAAAGCATTTTTGACAAAATACAAAACCCATTCCTATTAAAAGCACTAGAGTGTGTTTTTTAATTCTCACTAGAGTTATTCCTCTCTTTAGGAATAACTGCAATAAATGGAGTCTTGCTTAAAATTATAGATAGCATCTATCAAAAGCAATCTGCAGGTATTATATGTAATGAGCATAAGCTGGAAACATTTTCATTAAGACCTGGGGTGAACCAAGGATGTCTATTATTACCACTGTTATTCAGTATTGTGCTGGACATGTTAGCTTAGGAGTTAGAGGAGAAAAAAAAATTGAAGGAATTAGAATAGGCAAAGAAGAAACACAGCTATCACTCTTTGAAGATGATACGATAGTATATTTAGAGAATCAAGTAAAATATGACTTGAAATAACAAACAAATTCAGCAAAGTTGCAGGATATAAAATAAACCCACACAAATCACACACATTTCTGTATATTACTAACAAAGCCTAGCAGCAAGAGATAGAAATATTCCATTTAAAATTGCCGTAGACATTATAAAATATTTCAGAGTCTACCTGCCAAAACAAAATCAGGAAGTATATGAACACAGTTACAAAACACTTTTCACACAAATAAGGTAAGATCTAAACAATTGGAAAAATATCAGTTGTGCATGGGTAGACAGAGCTAACATGATAAAAATGACAATTCCACCTAAATTAATTTGCTTATTCACTGCCATACCAATCAAACTACCAAACAATTATTTTATTGAGCTATCAAAAACAATAACAGAATTCATCTGGAAGAACAAAAAGTCTGGAATATCAAAGGAACTAGTGAAAAGAAATGCAAAGGAAGGTGGCCTAGCTGTACCAGACCTTAAATTGTATTATAAAGCAGCAGTCATCACAACTACATGGTACTGACTAAAAGAGAAAGTGGTGGATTAGTGGAATAGGTTAGGCATGCAAGACACAACAGTCAATGACTAAACTAATCTACTCTTTGATAAATCCAAAGACCCCAGCTTCTGGGATACCAAATCACTTTTTCACAAAAACTGAAAAAAATGTATGGCAATGCCCAGAATTTATCATTTTTCAAGTTTTTTTGCTAATCTGGTGGCTATTTATTGCTACCTCCAAATTATTTTCATTTTTACTTCTTTGATTACCAGAGTTTTGAGAAATGTATCAGGTAATTATTAGTAATTTCTCTTGTCAAAAACACCTGTATGTTTTAATCTTAAAAATTTCAATCAATCCCTTACAAAGTAGATGTGTTGGATTTTTAGAGAAAATTTCAGGCAGTGATTGTTACGTTTCCCCCCTCATATTTCTTTATTCTGTTTACTTCATATATCTTTCTCTTCCTCACTCTGAACTCAATTCTCTATTTTCTTTCTGTTCAGTCTTTTCCTATTTTCACTTCAGATGGTAAGGATACATTTGCAATTTTTCAAAGTCATCTGTTTTTTTCTGAATTGTCTTACTCTATTCAAATGTAAACCAGTTAAAGTAGAGAAAAGGTTCAGTCAACTCTCCAGGTAATTTTATCCTCAATCAAATCATTTACATGTTACTTCTGATTCATCATACTTTCAAGTAACATATATTGATTCTTAGTGAAAGACTAGTGATACTGTCCTCAAGTGAGAAGGCAGGAGAATGGCACTAAAACCTTTGAGGAACTAAGAATCTTGGGAAAGGGTAAAAAAGGCAAGGTTAATCAGCTCTTTTATTCTTCCTTTCAGAGAGCAGAAAATTTACTGGAGATAAACTTCTTGAATATGATGAATATGGGAAGGCCTTCAGGAGCAAGGAGCACCTTTTTGTGTGTCAGAAAATTCATACTGGAGAGACACTTTGCCAATGTAGTGAATGTAAGAAGGCCTTCAGGGATGAGATACAGCTTACAGTGCATCGCAGAATTCATACTGGAGAGAAACCTTATGAATGTAGTGAATGTGGAAAGGCCTTCAGGAACAAGAAGTACCTTGCTCGACATCAGATAATTCATACTGAAAAGAATCCTTATGAGTGTAGTGATTGTGGGAAGGCCTGTAGGGATAAGACACAACTTACACTGCATCACAGAATTCACACTGGAGAGAAACCTTATGAATGTAGTGAATGTGGGAAGGCCTTCAGAAGTAAGACACAACTTACTGTGCACTGGAGAGTTCATACTGGTGAGAAACCATACGAATGTAGTGCATGTGGAAAAGCATTCAGATATACGACACAACTTACAATGCATCACAGGATTCACACTGAAGAGAATCCTTATGAATGTACTGAATGTGGGAAGGTCTTCAGGAATACTTCAGGACTAAGAGTGCATCACAAAATTCATACTGGAAACATTCCTTATGAATGTAAGGAGTGTGGGAAGGCTTTTCTTTTCAAGTCAAAACTTATTCGACATCAAAGAATTCATACTGGAGAGAAAGCTTGTGAATGTAGTAAATGTATGAAGACCTTCAGGGGAAAGAAGGCACTTGCTCTGCATCAGAGAATTCATACTGGAGAGAAACCTTATGAATGTAGTGAATGTGGAAAGGCCTTCAAATATAAGATACAACTTACAGTACATCAGAAAATTCATACTGGAGAGAAACCTTATGAATGTAGTGAATGTGGAAAGGCCTTCAGGGATAAGACACAACTTAAAGTGCATCACAGAATTCATACTGGCGAGAAACCTTATGAATGTAGTAAATGTGGGAAGGCCTTCAGGTATAAGACAAAACTTACAGTGCATTACAGAATTCATACTGGAGAGAAACCTTATGAATGTAGTGAATGTGGAAAGGCCTTCAGGACTAACTTTGAACTTAAAGTCCATCAGAGAATTCATACTAGAGATTTTCTTTATGAATGTGATCAATGTGGAAAGGCCTTCAAGACTAACTCACAACTTAAAGTGCATCAGAGAATTCATACTGGAGAAAAACCTTATGAATGTAGGAAATGTGGAAAGGCCTTCGGGAGGAAGGACTATCTTAGTAATCATCAGAGAATTCATATTTGAGAGTTGTCTTATGAATATAAGGAGTGTGAGAAGGGTTTCCACTATGACATAGATCTTACTCTACATCAAAAAATTCATACTGGAGAGAAACTTTATTAATGTAATGAATGTGGAAAGGCCTACAAGAGGAAGAAATATCTTACTGTACACCAGAGAATTCATACTCAAAACATCCTTAATAAATGTAAGGAGTGTGGGAAGGCTTTCCCCTATAACTCAGATCTTATTTGACATGAAAAAAATCATGCTGAAGAGAAACTTTATGGATGTCATGAATGTGGGAAGACCTTCAGAGTGAGGATCCAATTTACTCAACACCAAAGAATTCATTCAGGAAAGGAATCTTAAGAGTGCAGTGCATGTAGGTTGGCCTTTAGATGGAGAATATTACTTTTTATCCATCAGAGAATTCATCCTGGGGAGACTGGTAAAGAGTCTGGGAAGACCTTCCATTGCAATTTGGATCTAATTAGACATCAAAAATTCATGTTGAAGAAAAACCTTATGTATGTAGTGAATATGGGAAGGCCTTCAACAAGACGCCTCATGTTACTGTTTATCAGAGAATGCATACTGGAGAAATTCTTTATGAATGTGAGTAGCGTGGGAAGGCCTTCTGTCACAAATTAGATCTTTCTCAACTTTAAATAACTCATGGCTTCTGAATGTAACGTACAAGGGAAAGCCTTCCACCTGAATGTATCTTTTCCTCAACATCAGAGCATTCATACTGGAGAGAGACCTTAGGAATGCATTGATTGTGGTAAGATCTTCAGCCTGAAGACGCAACTTACTCAACATCAAAGAACTATTTCTAGAGAGAAACTTTGTGAGTTTGGGTAAGACTTTAGACTAAGGATGCTACTTTATGTCCATCAGAGAATTGATACTAGAGTGATTTTCCTGATTATAAGGAGTGTGGGAAGATTCCCCCAGCTGACTAAACTGTGATTCTGAGTCTCTAGATGCAGTTCACAGAGTCCTTATTTAGGCACCATGGGTAGAAGATATTCCTCCCCTCTAAGAAGCCCTGTAAAGGGGCAGAGATTCAGTGTTATCTTCCCATGGGCCTTCAGGGGGAGGGAGAGGTTACTGAGTGGATGGTGGTTTTGGGAGATCCTTAGTATTAACTTTGGTTCCTCGGATTATGGCATGCAAGAAGCTGGGGGATGACCTCTTGGCCATCAGATGAGCCTGAGCCTAATGTGTGATGAATAATTGTTGATGGTACTTGAGAAATATATCATAATCTGAGCTGTGTTCCTCATGTGGCTGCTACTGCTTCTGCTTCTCTTCGTTTGGGTAGCCACTGTGGACCATAAAGATTTGGAATCACCTTATTTAAAACAAAGCCTCATTAGGGCCTGTGGCAGATGTTAATGCAATGTGATTTCTGTCCTGTGCTCTGAACTTCAAAGAGAAGAATGTGCAGGTAAACAGCACGATTATCAGTGACCTTCTCCTGGTAGCCAAATGCCTTGTCATCTAATTAGTGACACACATGAAAAGATGAATAAGATTCCCATTATGGTTTAGGAATAGAAACAGTTTTCAATGAAGAAATCAAAGTAATCAATAATAATGAAAGAATGCCCTAAATCACTTTTAACTAGAGAAATGCAAATGAAAAGAACTTTGAAGCAACATGTCACACTACCTCAGATTGGCCAGCGTGACAAAAAAGGGAAATGACAAATTCAGGAGGGGATGTGGAAAAATAGGGACATGAGCACAATTCAGAATTGGTCCAACCATTCTGCAGAACAATTTGGAACTGTGCCCAAAGGAGTATAAAACTATGCATACCAGGGCAGCTAGGTGGTACAGCAGATAGATAGAGCACTGTCCCTGGAGTCAGGAGGAACTGAGTTCAAATCCAGCCTCAGACACACAAAGCTAACTAGTTGTGTGACTGTGGGCAAGTCACTTAACCCCAGTTGCCTCAATAAAAACAAAGAAACCAAAAAACTGCATACCCTTTGACACAGCAATACCACTACGAGGTCTGTATCCCAAAGAGATGAAAGAAAAAGGAAATGGACTTAGATGTACAAAAATATTTACAGTAGGTCTTTTTTGTGGAGACAAAAAATTGGAAATTGAGGAGATGCCCATCCATTGGAGAGTGGCTGAACAAGTTGTAATATATGAATATAATGGAATGCTATTATGCTACAAGAAATGGTGAGCAGGTGGATTTCAGAAAAACCTAGAAATACATAAACTTTTTCAGAATGAAGCGAGCCGAACCAGAACACTGTACACAGTAACAGCAACATTGTGTGATGATCAGCTTTGATAGACTTAGCTCTTCTCAGCAATACAGTGATCTAAGACAATTCTAAAAGAGTCATGATGGAAAATGCTATCCACATCCAGCAAAAGTACTACAGAGTCTGAATTCAAATCGAAGCCTACTGTTTTTTGCATTTTCTTTCTTGTGGTTTTTCCCTTCTGTTCTGATTCTTCTTTCACAAGATGACTAATGGGTAAATATCTCTAATATGATTTTACATGTATAGCCTATATCAGATTGCTTACCATGTTGGGGAGGGGGAGAGAAAAAAATCTTGGAACTCAAAATCTTATAAAAGTGAATGTTGTGAACTTTCATGTTTACATGTATTTGGAAAAAATATAATACTATTAATTGGGGGGGATGGGAAGGCTGTTACAGCATCTTGTTGTGGAGAATCTTAAAATCAGGTCAAATTCAAGACTTTTCAGTAGTAGCCAGATGGTGCCTTAGCTCTTTATGAGAAGGAAGTGGGTGGGATGAGAGATTTCACGGTAGAACTTTCACAGTGAGTCATGGGTTGGAGAGATTAGCAGATCTAGTGACCTCTGTATAGGTTTTCTACCTTCCTATTGTACAGCTTTGCACAGATTTTTTCCTTAGGAAAGGACATTGCCCTTTGTCCCAGAGCTTTCCTTTCCAGTTCCCCTTCCACACCTGAAGTCCCTAAGCCCTAATGTAAGTGATTCCTGAGCCAGCTTGACTACCTGCTTTGTGTCATCTGAAATGATTAGACCTAATTGGGAATGGCCTTCTGACCCACTGCTCTGTGGAACCTTGGATAAGTTACTTTACCTATCTCAGCTCTTCATCCATAAGACAACAGACCTTTCTTAGATGAGCCCTAAAGATCTTTTATTGAACGCAGGGACACTGATGGAGCCCAGGACAGTTGAGTTAAACTTTCCCACTCCCACAATAGCAACAAGGGCTGTTGTGAGCAAAGGAGGTGTTACAGAGCAGACCTGGAGCAGTTTGAGTTAAGTTTCCTCCCAGGTGGATTGATTTGGGACGCACTTAGGGATTGTGGGGCATCGAGAATATTTGAAAAAAAAACAAAACCCACCATTGGGAGAGGAACTCCTGACATCCCAGGGAACCTTCTTTTTGATTGTTTTAAATTCCCTTGTCTGCTGATTGTACCTGGTTTTACTTTTTTGGACTGCATTTTGCCAAACATGGGGTGTCAACTCTGTCTCAGTTTCTCTAAAAATCTGCAAAATGGGGATAATAACAGCTCCTACCTTCCAAGGTTGTTGTGAGGATATAAAAAGATGACCGCACCACCATAAATGCTAGCTGTATTTTTTAGAAACAATCAGTTTTTAAGTCAAAACATCCAAGGGCCTCCACGTAATGGGCCCTGAGGGCTGGTGGCAGCATTCCCTTTATATTCTGTGGTTTGGACTCCAATCCAATTTTCTGCTAGACAAGTATTTGAAGGGCTGTCATGTGGAAAAAAGGATTAGACTTGCCTTGTAAGATTGGAAGGGCAGAACTATGGGCAATGAGGACCATGTCTTCATGCCTTGGTTTGTATCCCTAGCACTTAGCAATGTTCCTGGCACATAGTAGGTGCTTAATAAATGCCATTTGACTGGCTGACATTAATGAAATAGGTGTGCAACTAAAACACAAATTAAAAAAATAAAACAAATTTTAAAATTCCAATTAAATACCAAACAAATGCTGAAATCAAGTTAGATATTAACCAAATTAAAAACAAAAAATGAATAAACAGATAAAAAAACATTTCAGTGGAGAAAGCAGGTGGATAAACTATTGGCTAATTTGATTTAAAAGAAGAAAAGAGAAATTAAATTACCATTAACAAAAATGAAAAAGGATAATTTATGTTACATAAAGGTTTTATTAGAAATTATTCCTGCCTTCTTGACGAGGTGGGTAGGGAAGAGGGGGGAGAAAATTTGAAACTTAAAATCTCATGAAATTAAAAAGAAAAATTATTTTGCCCAACTATATGTCAAATACATACAAATAAATACACAAAATAAATATTTACAAAAATATAAAGTACTGAAATTTACAGAGAGACAGAAAATTTGAACAACCCAGTCCCAGGAGGAGTAATTTAACAAGGGATAAATCAGTTCTAATGGGTTCAGAGTGGGGAGGTGAGGATGGATAATGCAGGACCAGCTGTAATTAAAAGTAAATTCTATCAAAAATAATTAGTTTTAAAAATAGAGAAGTTATTTGCAGAAATAGCAAAAGAAAGCATCTTACAAAATTCCATCTATGACGTAAACATGGGCTTGACACAAAGAAGTAAAAAGAAAAACAAAACCTATTTCCCTAATCAGTATTGCTGCAAAAATTTTTAAATAAAATCTTAGCAAAAAGCCCCCCAAAATAGTACAAGGATTATATGTTATGAGCAGGATGGATTCGTTCCAAGATTGATGTATTGGTTTAATATTAAGAAAACTATAGGGGCAGCTAAGTGGCACAGTGGATAGAGCACCGGCTCTGGATTCAAGAGGGCCTGAGGTCAAATCTGGCCTCAGACACATAACACTAGCTGTGTGACTCTGAGTAAGTCACTTAAACCCATTGCCTAGCCAAAAAGAAGAAAAGAAAACTATAAATTAACCATATTAATAACAACAAATGAAAACAATGTATTATCAATAGATGCAAAATTTTTTTTAATAAATCTCAACTATTTCTACTAAAATCTGTAGAAAACATGAATAAATGTACCTTTCATTAATATGATTAAAAGTATTCCTTTTGGATGTGCATATATCCAAAAGGTGTACTATTAATCATACATACATCACCCACACATCCAAAGATGAGTCAGCATTTTATGTAGTGGGTATAAATTAAATTGCTCTCCAACAAAATCAGAGGTGAATTTGCATTGTTGCCACACGTATTTTACATATTGCTAGATATAACGGCTATAGAAGTAAGAAAAGAAAAAGAATCAATAAAAGTAAAGAAGAAACAAAATGTTCACTTTTTGCAGATGAGAAGACAGGATGGACAACTAAAATTTAATTGAAATAAGTATTAATTTTAGCAATATTACACATATCCACAGAAATCATTAACATTTCTATATCACACCAATAAAACTCAGCAAGAAGAGATAGAAAAAGAAATTACTTTTGCCAAAACTACAGTATATATAAAATACTTGAGACCTTACCTACCAAGATACACATGAGAACTTTATGAATAAAACTATAAACCAATGTTTAAAGGAATAAAGGCAAACCTAAATAATTGGAAAACTATTATTTGTTCATGGATAGGATGAGCCTTTCTTACCAAAATGATAACACTATTTAAATTAATTTTCTTTTTCAGTGCTACAGTATTCTAAGTACCAAAGGGTTATTTTATAAAATGAGAGAAAATAAGAAAATTCTGATGGGGAAAGAAAGGCCAAGAATCTTAGGGAAAATAAAAGGGGGGGGGGAATGGGTACAAAGGAGACTTAGCAGTGACAAACCTCAAACTATATTACAAAGCAGCATTTTTCAAAATAATTTGATCCTGGTATAAAAACAGATCATTCAGGAGAACATTAGGAATACCACCCACAGAGCGGCAACTAGTAGACTAGAACTGAGTGAGCACAAAGACCCAAATTAGTGGGATAAAGATTCAATATTTGATAAACATTGCTAGCAAAATTGTATAGCAATATGGAAGAAGTGAGCTTTAGACCAAAAGCTCTCACCTTGTAAGCTCCAAATATGTGTGTGATCTAGGTATAAAAAAAATCACATCATAAAGACATTGGAGCAACATGGAAAAATTACCTATAACATACACAGGAGAAACTTAAGACAGAAGAAGAATCCCAGAAGACAAATTGGATAATTTTGATGAAAGTTTAAATGTTTTGTACAAACAAATTTAATAAAGCTTAGATTGAAAGAGAAACATTTGGGGGTGAGGTAGATATTTTTGTAGCCAGTTTAATAAAAATTTAACTTCCAATACGGATAAGAACCATTCCTCAATTTGTAAATGGACTAAAGATAGGAACATCAGTTTCACAAGGGAAAAACACAGTATATATAGCCATGTAAAATAAAACTCCAAATTATTACTAGTTGAAGGATGCAAATTCAAGCAATTTTAAGGCTCCATCTCACAAGCATCAGATTAACAATGGTGATAAAAAACAGGGAACAGGAAAAAATTGGAGGGGTTATAGGGAAACAGCATAGGCATGAACTATTGGGGGAGCTATGAATGGGTCTAACCATTCTAAAAAGAAAATTTTGAAAATATCTCCCCAAAGTTACTAAATAGTACATGCCTTTTGGCTTAGATGTCCCACTACTAGGCCTGTATCCTAAGGAGATTAAGAAAGGAGGAAAAAGATATATAGATATATGTATATATACAGGAAAAAGTATTATATATACATATATATGTGTGTGTGTA